ATATATATATATAACCCTATATTTTCGGGTTGGGTCGGACGGATTAGTCGGGTTCGGGCTCAATTCTTACACCCTTAATACGGAGTGAAAACACGTCATTTTTTGGCTTGTATAAAGGTTTTTGTTTCCAATTTTGGAAAATTTATGGTTTATAGAGTCTGGTTGTTTGGGTTCCGACCTCTCTGTCGAAACCTTTGTATTTCTGTGGCGATAATGTGATTGAGCATATTAGAGGAATTTTAGATAGTCGGGTTCGGGCTCAATTCTTACACCCTTAATACGGAGTGAAAACACGTCATTTTTTGGCTTGTATAAAGGTTTTTGTTTCCAATTTTGGAAAATTTATGGTTTATAGAGTCTGGTTGTTTGGGTTCCGACCTCTCTGTCGAAACCTTTGTATTTCTGTGGCGATAATGTGATTGAGCATATTAGAGGAATTTTAGATGGGTATGGATTCAAACTTGATTTTGGAATTATCAAACGTCCTATTCGTGAGTGCTTCTTTCAAAATGAGAGGCGGCCAATTTACGCGAGGCGGAGTTGTGCGTCATCGTAAATTCATAGAATTGTCTTATAATATTATAGTGTTCCTCTAGTGTTGTTTACCCATCTTATTTTCTTATGCTCCCTGGTAATATTATATCGTAAATATACATTGTCGTTGCTGTTAGACATTTCTTTACTAGTTATATGTATTCGTATTATTTTAACATGGTTTATTACCTTATTATCCCTTCATTGAATAATTAGATACACTTTTCCCACCTGCCACCGTGCTGCCAATATCTCCCGCTGTAGGTAACTCATAAAAGCTAACCTCTCAAATATAACAATTGATGAACACAGTGACTTCCATTCCTAAAAAGAATAAAACGTTTAAAAGTCTAAAATAGGTGCCGCTCTAATCCGGTACTGGACCGTCGTCGTCTGAAAATATACATATACATGTAATATAAGTGAAGGGATATCGTTTCATTACAATATACTAAAAAGATGAGGATAGCAAATTTGGACATAGAAAAAGGTCCACGAGTTAAATCTGCACTATTCATACATCGCATGAACTTTTTTGTGTTGTTTTTTTTTTTTATATTATTATTATTATTATTATTATTATTTTGGGTACAAAATGCTTCGCATGAACGGTGAACTAGGAAGTGTTAACCTTTCTTTGCCCTACAGTCGTCCTTGCGTTGTTGACAGCCCACAACGCCCACAAACACGAGTGTTGTGCCTCATTCTCACCAAATTCTGTCTTTCAGCTCCCCCATTTTGATAATAAAACTCTTTTTTTTTTTTTTTAACTCACTCTTCGTTCCTTCCCTTCTTGTCCCCTAAGGAAACTCCTTTTTCTGCTCCTTTATTTATGTGCACAAACTAGTCACTCACTCCTACGTGCAATCCTTTCACCACTTTTACGTGCACCTCTAAAATCTAAAACAAATTCAGTGAAGAAAAAGTATTTCTTTTCTTGAAATGCTAATGATGAGAACACCATCTTTCTCTCTCGTAAAAACGGTTAAAGTAAACAATCTCTTGCACAGAAAAAAGGCCAGACAACGGGGCTTTTGCCAGTAGATCATGAGGTTTTGGGGGTTCTTGTTTCCTATATATTGAACCTTAATATTCTGTTTCAAAGCGAAGCCAATAACGATCCCTTAATTAGTAGCAAAATAACCATTCCTCAATTGCCTCTTTCCTCTTCTCCATCAAAAGACAGGTTTGTTTTACATCAACTTTTAATATGAAATGTCAAATTTTCACCTCGTTCCTTTTGTTGTACTTTATGTTGGGTCCACTTCACCATGTTGTAGGAGATCAATGTCTTTTTAGTCTATTTTTTGAACATTTTTGCGGGAGAGAAAATATCCTGATAGGACAGTTTTCAACTATCAAATCTGTACTATATAAAGAAATATATGATAATTTAACAAAACTGTACCCACATCTAGGTATTTTTTCTTAACATTCTATAGAATTCTCTGAGAGGCTTAAGGAAGCTCTGTTGATTATCTCGTCTCAGATTTTCCTTTCAATCTTGTTTCCTCAGTTTTGTTCTTTGTTTTTTTTTGTTTTTTTATTTTGCCCTCTTGATCCATAAGAGAGAGATTTCAGCCTTGCTCCTGAGAATGAATATTATCCATGAAAAAAGATATCCTGCATACTACCATAGTTTCATGGCATCAACAAATGATTTTTATTTGAAAACATTATTCTGTTACAAAATATCAGGTGCAACACAAACTAGTCTAGGATGGAGAAGCTGAACTCGGAGCTATATTTGCAGAACTGCTACATTATCCAACAAAATGAAAAGTTAAGGAAGAAAGCACAAAGACTTAACAAGGAGAATCAAGCTTTGCTGACTGAGCTGAAGCGGAAACTCTCCAGATCAAACACCGGTCAGAACCCCAACACTGAGAGTGATTTTAGCTCCACTTCCTCCTCAGGTTTGATCAATTTGAGCAAACCATGATCATAGAAGTGATTGTATTTTTGCCTCAACCTGAGTATTCATTACCTAGTCAGCCATATGTTAAGTCCCAAGAGAGGGCCAAAAAAAAAAAAGCGTGATTTTGTAGGTAAACAATAATGTGCGGAACTATAGAATAATTCAATGAAAATATGGAAAAAGCTCTCATGGTAAGCTCTCTCTCTCTCTCTCTCTCTCTCTCTCTCCTTTTCTCAAGATAAAACACCAAAGTTTCTTGGTATGTCAAATATTCAGAAGAAAAAATAAAAGACAAATACGAACATTGGACAAACCTCAGAAAGGCTGAACAGCAGCTTACGAGTCTATACTTAGCTTCATGTCAACACTGGAGAAAGTTTTGTAGAATGCCTTGAAATGCTGGTAAGCAATGTCGATATCTTCCTTCCCACATATCTCTCTTACACTGCAGTTAAAGGCAGAAGAAAACTACGATATCAATGATCTTACTATCCAGATCAAAGAAAGCACAATATTCTTCCTGGCTCAGGGAATGGAGAATCTAGCCACAAATTCTGGGCTCAAATTTGACAATCTCATAAGTACACTTGTTACATTTTGTTTATCCAGGATTGGGTTTGTTCAAACAAAGTTGAGAAATTAAGTACATATCAAGAAACACTGAACAATTGTCCACACGCTTTCTGTGAAACCTTATGCATTGCATTCTACTCGAACAAAAAAATCTAACTAAATTCCATAACTGAATCTGATTGTTCTTATACAAGAGCGAGTGATATCTATCTACCTGTGCATGGAAAGTTGAGGAATGCCACAATCAACAGTACGGATGCCAACCCCGGAAGCAAGAATAGGACCTATTGTTGATCCACATCCCATATCATTTCTCACCACAAATTCCTACACAAAAGTAAATAATAGTAAGAAACTAATTCCCATTGTCATATGGTTAACTTTAAATAAAAATCAGAATCAATGAAGATACTGTACTCTTTTTTTTCCCCCCAAAGATAGTATATGACAAAAGTATACCCCCATCAATCTCATCCAAAATTCTCCCAAATAAATTAGGAACCAAGAATGACTACGTTTACAGAATTATTTACTTTATAGTGGCATCACCTGAGGTATGATATAATCCGCAGACTGCAACCACGTGCAAATTGATCATTTGAATGGAGAAATTTACGGCAATCGCAATCACTATTATATCTTTCATGTAAAAAATACGGGGGTAAACTTCTCTCTCTCTTTTTTTTTGGCAATCGTAATCACTATTATATCTTTCATGTAAAAAATACGGGGGTACACTTCTTTTTTTTTTTTTTTTTTTTTTTTTTTTTTAAGGCTTCAACTTTACTAGGATCACAGCATGCAGTATCCTTAATCATAATTTCCCGTATAAGTACCAAGTCCAACACAAAACTTACGGCTGGTAGTAAAATATTGATTCTCCTGTTGAGATCTAATTCTATCTTCATAGAATCCTTGAGATATTTTCTTGCGAAGTTTTGTTACGGCATCCATGACTACCTACAGTTTGTTTTGGTCAACACCGCTTTTGGTTTTGTGCTGTTTTCTTTCTCTTTTTCTTAATTTGAGGTTTGAGGATACCTTATCCTCTTGAACTCGTAATTGATTTCATATCAATAAAGGTCTTTTTCTTATAAGAAAAGGGTGGACGTCCTCGAAAAGTGGCCCAAGAGGCAGAAACTTGAAAAATCAAAAGAACCGTACCCCGATTTAGTTCAGTCTTTTGTTGGCTTTAGATTTAAGATTCACGTACATTTTTTTTTAAAAGAAACAGATTCACGTACATAAAGTCTACAGGTTATGAGATGATGTCAGTAACACAAAGGCCATGATTGCAGTTTCTAGATTTCATGAGAAAAGTAAAGGACTCTTTCATTTCACTGGAATCACTGACAATAGTAGAAGCTTTTTTTTTTTTTTTTTCCAAATGGGATTTTAGTTACTGAACTGTAATATAGTTTACCAAAAAAAAATTATTGACTTTCATGATTAAGCATATAACTTAGCTTTGGATGGAGAATGATAGGTACTTACAAGATATGATGAAAAGAATAAGTACTTATTCACATGTACTGGGTCTGTTCCAGTGATTGGGCCACTGGCTCAACGACTAAATTAAGTTTAGGACTATTCAATAGACTAAACAAAATAGACTGTCCAATAAGAAAAATTAATGTACCTGAGTTGGAAGATTATGAATTCTTCCGACTTCTTTGAAGAGAAAGGACGTGACTCCACTAGTAGCATACCGCTGGTTAGCATTGTGCTTGATAACAAGTCCCTTTTGCATCACAGGTCGGTGGTGTTCTTCATGCCTATCCACAAAATTTGGGTGAACTCCATGAGCCATGTCTGCAGAAACTGTAGAAAAAAGCATACAAAAATTCCCATTTAGAAACTTCTCTGGCAATGTTAAACTCAAGGCTAGAAAATATCAGAAAAACTGTTAACAAAACACCCAGATTTGTTAAGGTTAACAAAGTCTACCCGTTTGGACTTTGTTTATTTATTTATTTAAGGGTTTCACTCAATGTGGAAACCCTTTCAACTTTAGGTCAGTACCATATCGACCTTGTATAGTGAAGACTACTATTTTTTTTTTTAAAGAATATTTTTCTTTCAAGGAAAACCACTTGTAGAAAATTGTTTTCTTGGAATTCTTATGTCCATGCGTTCATATTAAATGCAAACAATCTCATTTTTGATACAAACTTGCAACCGTGTCAGGATGGTAAGAACTACCCTAGGATTTCTCTTCTCTTAATTTGGAACTCAGCTTTCCTTTAATGTTTATCAAGATCATCCATGAACTAAAAGATTCTTTCTATGGTGTGTACATTATTCCACCTGAAAAATCTACATAAACAAACAACCGAAATAACAAGATCAAGGTCAAACTTAAAAGGGTGCAAACAAAAATATACCAAGAAATGATTGGCGAATAGCTCGCTCATAAGCACCTTCACCAGCATATTTATCAGCTAAGCAACTACTTATGCGTCTTATGGCCTGAAACATGGTCGGAGCACCAGCCCCCTGAACAGAACCTGAACCGACCTACAAAGATAGAAGTTATGAATAAAATGTGGACATGCTAATATATCATCTATGCACATATATAATAATCTGACAGAGATATTCCACAAGTGCATGCAACAAAGATACCTAGTAAAAATAGGACTTCACAGTTAAAATTGCAAGACACCAGATAATGACAACCATTCTCAATAAACAACATGCTGTCTACAAGCTAGCAGCATCCTTATAACATAACCTAAAACCACAGTATTCAGAATATGGACTTTTACTATTATCCCTTTTCATTCAAATAGTTGGCAGGGTTCATATAAAAAAAGAGAAGTTGGATCCAGTTGAAATGAAAAATTTTAGAGCCTATGAACAATACAAAGTAAATGCAACATGGTGAAAATTCACTCAGATTATCAGAAGAGAACTTTACTGAATAGAAAGTTGACTGTTGATATGGAGCAATTACCTCCTCATTATCAAATAAAGCAACCATCCGGATTGCATGTTCACTTGACAAATCACTATCGGATTTAGAAGAGTCAATGAGAGCCCTTAACGCACAATAACTTGAAGCAAGATTATCTAGTCTCCCCGAAAAAATAAATTCATTGTTTCCGCCTCCTAGGCAGCTGGGTTGAGTATCACAAACATTCAACTCAATGTCCACTATGTCCTCAATGTCACAACTGAGTTCATCTGACAAAACCTGAGCAGGAGGTCGGTGATGACATCATTACTCTTTCTGAAATTGATAACCACCAAAATTTACAGTGGATTGAAATTACAGACCCAAAAAAACAAAGATTTTTAAACCTAAAAAGTTATATGAAACTATTGGTGGTACCTGCATAAGCAATGGATGATGATTATCTTTCGAGGACATTGTCGTACTTTTATCTTTTGACTCGAGAGATGTTTCCTCTAATTTTGATGCAAGTAATGGAATGAGATGAGTCTCTAGATTTGGTTTAAATCCATCCTTGTTCACAGTGCTACACAATCAAACCAAAATGAAAACAAACAGTAGCAGAATGAGAGAAGCAGTACAGATTTGTTTCAGAGTATCTAAGACAAGTAACAAACGTCTTGGGTAATAAAATTATAAGCAAAGTATATATGTACACACAGAAAATATAACAAGTTACTAGAACAACCAGCAAAAAAAGTTCCACTCGGTCTGATTCAACTAATAAAAGTTTGATTAAGACTCATAATGCCCAAAAGAAACTAACGTAAATAAAGTAACAAAAAACATAAGGAACAATAAACTGCAGACGAGCACAAAAAGTAGTAGTGCAATTTCATCCAGGAATATGACATCCTTGTTCCTCAAGAATGAATTCCTCCCACACTTTAAAATCAAATTCCAAATTTTGTGTGGAACCCTATTTGAAATTTCATCTCAAACAAGTTCACAATGAAATGAATGCGACTTAACCAAAAGACTTAAATCCATGAGAAGATGCTACACACATTCTTCTAACATCACAAATCATCAAAAAGGAAAATTCCTGAATTTATTAGCTGATGACACCCACAAGAAAGCCAATACTGCACACCGTCACTTTCACAGAAAACTATATGGATCAGAAAGAAATTATTTATCCCATGAAACAAATATTGGTTCTTGTATAAGATCATTCACTTTACCAGAAGATCCAAATGTTCAAAAAAGAAATTAATAACGTCCTTAGGTCTACTATTGGTTGTATTATATATGACCAAGCATATGCGGCTATGATCGAATTTGCATATTGTTTCTTCTCTCGAAAAATTATTTTCAACTAAAGACTGTACTAGTATCATTATTTGTGTGTTAGATACTACAACATAAGACCAACAAGTTGCGATCTCCGTATCAGCCTACTGAGTCCTGATCAGAATGCAGTTTTCTACATTAATTTACTTGATTGGGCATGTAAGCTTAGATTATTTCAGTACAAAGTAATGGACAGAACAAGGCCAGAACATGAACAACTACTACACATCCAATCATATAAACAACAAGGAGGTCTAAGGTTATACTTGTGGTGCTTGGCCACAACGATCGCCATTGAACAAGTAGAGCAATTAAGAGAATATGGCATTATAATTAAGTTTAAACCTTTGCTACAAGATCTTAATATCTAGAGAAGCAGGGTTCCAGTACGTTTTTCCTGAACATTATAGGTCCTTACTGGTGGAGAGGGGATTTGGTTTTGGTTCTAACAAAATGGCTAAAGTGACGCAGCGGAATGGATAATGAAAGGATTTTACTGGCCTAATCCGGACGGGAGACGGGACATGCAATCCCAATCTACCTAAAAGAACCCTTATGGGGAAAAACCCCTAAATTGTAGAGGAAACTCATCTCTAATTCAATTATCAAATATTCAAAGTCCCTCTAATACAATAACTAAGTGGCTATTTATAGCTCACATAGAAAACGATAGCAAAATAACAACTAAGATAAACGACATAATAATAACAAAGCTAAGCTAAATTAGAAAGCCATAACAAACGACAAAAAAATATAAAAAACAACTTCTAATATCTTATTCTCCCTACATCATAAAGCCATGTGGAAAAGTATGGTGTTATCTTTGTTATGGGTCATTTGTTTGAGAGGAATGGAAGAATCTTTGAAGAAAAAGATATGGATATTGCTCCTCTTTTGAAAAAGCTAAAGAGTCAACTTTGTGGATGTCTACTAATATAGCCTTTGATGATTTTCCTTTTACTTTGATCGAACTGGAAGGATGTAATGGATTGCTAGATTTTCTGCTTTGGGCATTGGTGCTTTGTTTGTTCTTCGATGTATCTTTTTCGAGAACAGCTTGTCCTCAGAAGTTTTATGTACTGTATAAGTATAAATATATTGATGTTTCTTATTATATATAAAATAAAAGAAAAAGGCCCATGTAGTTTTAGACCAGAAAGGGTCAATGGGAAGGAACAATTCACCCTATCTGATTCCTCCTGTAGAGTATTCTAGTTTCCTACGCTAGCATTGTGGAGAAATAATGATTCCACAAAGAGACTAGACAAGAACATTGCCTTGGCATGAGAGAGCACATCATATAAAGAACTCAAAAAATAAAGCTAAAGATCCTTGCGTCTAGAAAGATTTAACCTCCAAATTCCATCAAAATTAAAGTACACGTTTAACAAAATTTTCATATAACAATCATTGATATAGTTGGAACTTATAAGCTACAAAATAAATAATCTGAAAAGGAAATAAATCCAAGGAACTCATGGCAAACCGGTCAAGATGAATGGCAAGCGTTGGTATCCGCAACAGAGGCTTCTTTACTTTCACAAGCTTGTGCAAAAAGGAACCGTCTTTGCTTCTCACTATGACTCTTCCTGCCACGGTTAAATCTCTGTCGAACCAAGTATACCATAAACCACCTCCATAGGTTTGCACGTTGACCATGAGATAGCCAGCCTTTGATGATGCGGATTTGGGTTTCAATTTTAGGCATGGACTATCTGTGTGTGCAGCAATCACGTGAAAGCCATTTCCAACCACGTATCTGAGAAGCTAGGAGAAACCTATGATTTATATTCATTGCCACTCATAATGTAGAGACTCAATATAGTGAGGAGAAAAGGAAAAATAAATTATTAAGAAAAACAACTTCGTAAATATGAAAACCTAGAAAAACTAAAATTGAAATAAAAACCAACTAATGCGTATAGGAAGGATTTTGTTGAATTTTTGAAAGGAAAACTTCAGTACGAACCAGTCAACAAACTTTCTGAGAACAAAGAATCCATGATACCCCAGAATTGTGTAATGATAAATTTAGGAAACGCTTTAAGAAATTGTAAATCATCTACATCCTGTGAATCCAACCAAAATTAAATGCAAGCTTGAATCATGTCCCTTTTTCTAATTCAAATGCAAAGATTCTAAATGCCTACAGCTAAATTTCTACTCACTTGTCTCCCACAGCAAATGCAATCAAAGAAGACATATTTCGTGTAAAGAAATAGCGACCGCCGGGTTTTAGGTCCCATTCATCGTTCTCATTCAATAGATGGAAACCAGCAGCAACTAGGTGTCGTTTTGCTTCAGCTACACACACACAAAGACGAGCATAAATTAAGACATTTGTGAAACAAATAAACATATACTTGAACAATAACCGGGGTTGTATGCACCATTTTTCTTGTTCAAGTAAGAATCTCAGAAGTAAATATCATAAATGAATTAAACATTGTTTCTTTTAAAAGCTATTAAAATATAAAAATGTTGCCGGAAAATATAATCTCATATAGCCTGCAAAAGCTCCATAAAATGCCACAATGTTTTTTTTTATATGGTTTTTCACCAAGTTAGATGGAGAGAAATATGGACTCAAGAGAATTGACATTAATAACTTTTACATGTAACTCAATGGCAAGAGTACTCCGACAAATTCATATACAACAACCCAGAAGCATTTCTACTTGAATACTAAAACAAATGCTATCATAACATTAACTCTCTTTTTATTATTATTTTTTTTTCGTATAAAAAGGTAACTTTTTTGAACTTTCTATGGTAGTTCATCTCCTACCATTAGTCCATTTTTTAACATTAAATCTGGTCAAAATAGAAGCTATACAAGACTGACAGAACCCGATAAAGATTTAACAGTTAAAACATAGTGCCTTTTGATACTCTACCAGAAAATTCTCAAACTTGTTTTTTTGTTTTCTCTCGACTTTCCAGTAAAAGTAATAACTAATCATACACACGCCAAAATTCAAGCTAGAAATAAGAGAGAGAGAGAGAGAGAGAGAGAGAGAGAGAGAGAGAGAGAGAGAGAGCAATATCCAAATACCAGTGGCGTGAAACTGAGTCCATGACTCGTTGAGATAGTCCAGTAAATCCCCAACAATCGACGCACTCGCTCCATTTCCAGAACTCTAAATCACGAAACAATCCTAAATTTCATTTCCAAAACGAAAGTTGCAAAAACACACACACACACATATATATATATAGAGAGAGAGAGAGAGAGAGAGAGAGAGAGAGAGAGAGAGAGAGAGGGGAGGTTTACCTCGGGGACATGATCGGAGACGGAGCAGAGAAGAGGCGTGGTGGAGAAACTGCGAGTGGACTTGAAATTGAAGGAAGAGGGAGACAAGCGAGGAACATTTGGTAAGAGAATGGAGGGTTTGAGAGTCGCCGGAGTATGGAGGAGCTGCAGGCGGAGTTGCAGCCGAGTTATCGTCGCCATTTTTCGTCCTCTCTCTCTCTATGGGGCTGCTGTGTGCAGATAGATTAGAGTTTACGAACTAACTTAAGACGGTAAGAGCAAGAGATGCAGAGATCAAAGTGTATTTATTTTTTAGCATCCCATCTCTATCTAGGGCTGATAACAAATGGACTCACGAAGGTAAGAATGAAATCGAGTGTTCCGGATTCAAAAAAATCGTTAGACGTCTCACACTGTTTAGTTTCTTTTTTTATTTTTTTTAAATCTCAGAAAGCCGTTTAGTTGGAGGATTTATTCTCTGATTCGAATATAGTTCATGATTCGTTATAGTATTTTATCTCATAAAAAATACACATAAATTAAAAATAGTTCTAATCTCATGGTTCTAATCCATGAACCAAAAACTCAAAGTGAACTCTAATATTCTTTTTTCTCTCTCCTTCTAAGGCAGTACGATCTCCATGGTCGTGCTTCCTCCATTCTCGATCTAGAACCACGACGCTGACATGCATCTCCGACAATTTGGAGGAGTTGAGGGAGAGACGCCAACCGTTGGATCTCTGGTTAGATCTCATACTGCGACCGGAAATCGAACGAATTTTGACGAAATCGGCGCCACACCATTGAGAACGAGAGTAAAAATAGTCGCCGTCACGATCAGTCGCTTTTATGATTTTGGAATGTTCTTAAATTGGCCGGGATTGTTTTCTATTAGGCTTTAAAGTTGTCGTCTCCGACTAAATAAATGTTAGTTAGTGGCCCTGCATAAGTGAAAATGATTTGGCCTTTTTTAAACTGTTTTTGAAAATAGTTTTCAGGTATAGAAGTAAAAAATAATATATTTTGAGAAATGAAAAATAAAAATAAAAATAAAATGACATTTATTTAATAAATATTTTAAAAATAAAAATAAAAATAATGATAATAATTTTGTAAAAGAAATTAAAAAATAATTAAAAATTATTTTTTATTTTTATTTTTATTTTTTAATACTTACTAATAATATTATAATATATTAATCAATAAGCACGATTTTATTTTTTTATTATACACAAAATAATTTTTTTAAAAATTAATTAAATATAAATTTAGAATTAATTTAAAAATAATTCTTAAAATAATCTCATTTTTAATTTTATTACAAACGAAACCAATTTTAAATGCATTATGTTTTCTTTGATCTCCTCTTTCGCCCCGTAAAATTCCGATGCTTGCAGGGGGAATTGGAGGAGGGCAAGCAGGAATTTCGGAGTTGTTCTTTTAGAGTGTAATTTGAGTGTAGTTTTTGAGTTGAATTTGAGTTATAACTTGAGTTGAAGTTGTAACTTGAATAAAGTTGAGTAAAGTTGAATAAAGTTAAAACTTAAAAGAACGTGAACTTAAATAAAGTTGAAACTCGAGTTATCTTTTTTTGAGTTTTTTGGACAAAAGAACATGCCCAAGACTCTAGTTGATGAGGATCACCGTGATTTCTGACCTTATGCAAAGATCCCAATTCCAATGCGTCTAGTTGGTGATTGAAAGCCTATACGAGTCTCATGTCAAGACAAAAGACCCTAATTCCAATACAACAAAAGACCCCAATTCCAATACAAAAAGTTTTCAAATCTAATTCAAATCTTTTTAGGGCATGTTCTTTTGACGTTTTTGAATTAGGTAAGTTAAGTATAAATTTTAAATTGAGTTTGAGTTATAACTTGAGTTGAAGTTGTAATTGGAGTTTGTGTTTGGTTGTATACATTTGAGTTATGGTTTGAGATAAGAATCTTTTTAAGTTTGTGTTGGAGTAAGTCAAAACTTGAATTTGTAATTAGATAGTATTTTTAAAAAAACTCGATGCTGATGGAAAATTTTAATAGGGTATATGAGTGGGATTTTATTCGCCTTTTCGTTGTCGACTCATAGAAAAAAAATCATCTCAATCAGAATTAAAACGAAAAAGTTATAGCATTTTTAAGAATAGAAAAAATACTGTTCATTAATTTGAGTTCGAGTTTCTAAACTCGAGTTGAAGAGAAAACTTGAACTCGAATTTTAGTCTCAAACTCGAGTTCAAACTTGAGTTCAAACTCGAGTTTAAACTTAAAAAAACATGAACTTGAATAAAGTTATAACTCGAGTTATTTTTTTGAGTTTTTAACTCAAAAATATCACTGCCGAACAAGGCCTTATAAATTTAGATCCTCGATTAAATGGAAACGGCCTCGTTCGTTTCGCTGATTCGAGTTTAGAATTTGAGTTGAGATGTGATTTTATGTGAGAGCTTTTTACTGTAGTAAAAAGTTAGATGTGACTGTTTGTGAAAACTTTTTACTATAGCAAAACTCAAATTCTAAACTCAAATCAGAGTACATTGTAATTAGAAGCTTGTGTTAATTATCAAAATCAAAAGCCAAGTTGCCAAAAAATAAAATAAAACACTCATAAGGACCTCAAATTTTGGATATTTTCTTTTCTTCTATGACATGGTTATTTATTCTTTTCATAATCTACATTTTAATCTTATTTTATTTTGAAGTTCACAACATTGTCACATCAAATTTGATATTAAATTTGTACATCGTCTTAATCAAGTATTAATTTTGACCACTTAAATAAATTGACCCAAACATAACAAGAAAATCAGTTAATTAATGTAACAATCCTTGAGCTTTTTATGATGTGACAATTTAGTCTTAAAATTTCTTTAGATTTTTAAGTTTATTTTAATGAGAAAATTATGGACGTGTTTAGAATTGATCTCATTTTTTGAAAAAGAAAAAAAGAAAACGTCTCTAAAACGGCGTTTGGTATAATAAAGACAAAAAACGGAAATAAAACGATTTTTTGATTTAGTGTAAAATGAGAGAGAAATGAAAAACGACTTTTAGTCCTTTTTCATTTTTTGTTTTCGTTTTCTCCTCTCTCGAGCAGAGAGAGAGACATTAATGGATTTTTTTATACTGAAAATAATCTCTTGATAAAATTACCAAATGCATTTTCAAAAATGATTTCTGTCTGAGATTGAAAACGTTTTCATTTCCATACAAAAAATAAAATCATTTTAAAACGAGTTATAAACGCGCCCTACATAATTTGTGATGATTTTGTGCTAGTCTATTATTTATGTCATTCTAAATAATTGAGTACTATTGTGGTATCTTTTTAATGGATTAATTTCAAAAATTCTCCTCGAATAATGACCCTTTTAACACTTTACCTTCCGAATTTTAAAAAGTAACATCCGTTCCCTCCGAACTTTGTTCTATTAACAAGTTTTATCATTATGTTACAATGAGTGACGGAATTGCCACGTGTCACTTATTTAGTGAGAATTAAAAGCATAATTACGCTTATATCCTCATTATCAGATAATTCTAAATATTAAAGAGATAATATTACCAAAAGAAAAGATAATAAAAAAAACCCAAACGTTTTCTCTCTCTTTCTTCTTCTTCTCGTTCTCTCATCTCATGTCACGCCCCCCAAACGGGGTGGGTGACGTGGAACTCGATTTGGGATTAATAAAGCATATTCTCAACCGGGTCCCACACTTAACTGCATAAAAATATAAATAAACGACATAATCCAGGAGCCTCTGACACACAGGGCTCCACCCCACAGGACATACAGTATCGTACATACATGCACATGTAAATAATCAATTACAATAGACATCATCCACAGTCTAGTAAATTCAAATGTCATTTATTACAAATTCTTACATATTCCTTACACTTTATGTCAGAGGATGAACACATTCCTCACTTGATCGTTCCGTAGCACCACTCAGCTACTCCCGCTACTGTGCCCCGCTCCTAGAGTCTCCTGGGAGGGGTTTTAAACATTTGAAACATAAAACGTGAGCGAAAGGCCCAGTAAGATATAATTTGAAATATTTAGAATAAATGAGCGCATGAATAAATAATTGAATACATAAATAAAATAAGACATTCAGTCCCGACAGAACAGCCGGAACCTCACATCCTTTTTCTCAAAGGAAATATAACTGGAAATAACCATGTTACAGGCTTCAGCAAGTAATTAGTACAAATTACTTACCTAACCAAGTGCCTCGCCTACCCGGACCGGTTTCGGGTTCTGCCCCCGAGGATGCACTCTCCGCATCCTATCGAGGCTTACAGCAATAGACTCTATTACCAGTTCACAAGATCTCTTTGCTTAAGAAATCATTCATTAACATCTGGAAATCGTTAATACGACCCCACGAACTACTCAAGCCGCGGACCCCATGACTGGACAAGCCATGAGGTTCCATGACTAAACAAGCCATGGTTTTCAAAGCATTTTCTTTCACAAATCAATCCCTTTCTTTAAAACATCTTCAAGGCCAAAATCCTTTTTGAAAATAGGCTCACAAGGAAAAGGGATAGAAATCCTACATCGCACAATCAAACCTGGGACTAGCGTTGCCCTTTTCCGGCTTCCGCTATCTCAAGCCCCTTCAGTCTAAATCCTCAGCGATCACTGATGCAAAATAACACTTTAGGATTAATTCTCATTCCTAAAGCAATCCAAATCTCAATTTCCAACCAAGATTTCCTATTAGTGTACCATAATCCATTTTAATATTTCACATTATCATTCTAAGGGTTTTCAATCTCAAAACAAGGATTAACAATGCTAATCCATCTATCTCAAGTCCC